AGAATGAAAGAGGCATAACGTATATTTATTTCCTAATTTTTTTATGGTGGTTACAAGATAAGTCAAATTGAACAAAACTTTTTTTATTGATTAGTGAAAATAACAGATAAAATACCCCATCCTAACATTTGTTTACCATTAATGTATTTAAAGAAAGCCTTAATGCTAATTTTTACATTTTCAACCAATCTTTTCTCATATATCCTTTTTGATGTCCTAATTTACTGTTTCACTAACTTTCTCAATATTCTACTATCTTCTAAATCTCCCATCATAACAGTCAATTTAAATTTCATAAATTTGTGATGCTTTTCTTTAATTCTATCTCTTATACTCTTTGAAAGCAAACATTGTTTTTTACTTGTAGCAACCCTTTTCTTTCTATAAGGAATATGTTTAACTTGAATGTTTAAATATTTTCCACATCTGATCAGTGTCTCCAAATAACTCAGCTGCCTAATTTCACAACAGATAATTCTTGTCACATCCATTCAAAATGTGTTTTTTTTAATAAAATTTGTAACCAAAATATCTTTATTCCCTATCTCATATTTTGTAACATTTAATGTAATTCGTGAAAATTGTAATAAATGATTAAATTTACATTTCTGCAGAGCTCTGAAAAGTCTTGCTTGTAAGCAATGCACTTAAAGATATTTTAGAATTTTTCTGACTGTCTTAAAGTACATGTTTTATTTGGTAAGAAACCATCATCCTATGAGAATACAATTAACCCAGTCTTGTTTGTTTTGTGTAATTCACTTTATCTGTCTAATTGTTTATTCTTGCAGGCTTCTGTTCACATTACATGCTCTGAGGTCATAAAATGGTGCAAATAACTGTTAATCAAGAACAGTTTGAAAGCAGCTATAGACAAAGTTTAAATACCATTGAATAGAAAAGATTATAAACAATTATAAAGAAATAAAAAAAATAACTCATTTTTTTGGCTAGAAGAGGGTGCACTTTATTCATATGTTAGTCTTGAAGTAACTTTTTATTCAAATTATGAGGACAATTTTAAACATTTTTGTAGGTATAGATATAAAGGGTAGAGGTAGTTGTTTACATGCTTGCATAACATGTGAAATCCCAAAGCTACTTACCGGAATATTGTTTTCTTATGACTTGCATTGTATATAGTGCTAGTAAGTTTTCATAAATAGAATTCCAATATTTATTTTTTTATCTGAAATACATAGTAATCACAAGATGTTGTTAGCTCAGAAGATATAAAACAATGTTTATGGAATCCCATTCTTTAAAATATGGGCTGACAAGTGGCACCCTAAGTTTTGTTGACATCCCACATCTAAAATTAAGGAAGAAAAGGTGTTCAAATAACATAGTTATGATGGATGTCCTAAGATTGGGTGTTTAAAACTCAGGAAACACATTATTACAGTTTTTAATTCATAAAAAAAGTGCATTTTAATGAGCTAATTGAGGCTTTGACAACTGCAAAAAATAGCAGTAAAGGATGACCAAAATGAAGGGGTGAAATGGAATCTGAAAAGGTTGTAATGATGAGTGCACAGATTCTACAAAATTATTATTGTTGCTTTGTAGATATACTTACCCGTTCTCTTGGAAATTGATTTTTGACTTCAAATATCTCAGTTTTTTGTTAGTTTATTAACAACAAGCTTCCCTCAACACTGTTGTGAAACGTCATAATAATATACAACCTTTACTCTCTTTTAATTAAATTTAGGCAAATATGGATTTGAAACGTCCTTCACGGGGAGATTCAGAAGAGGAACTTGAATGCATGCAGGAGGAATTTTTAGCAGGCAGACTTCAACCTTCAGCAAAAGTTGTTAGTGTTGGAGAAAAGAGAAAAGCAGTGGAGGAAGTTAAAGATTCAGCCTCAAAAGGTATGTTCTTGATATTTCATTTTATGTTCTGAAGTTTTTTTAAACAGAAAGATAAATCATAAAAATGACTTGCATTATATGACTATTAGAAATAATTTTATAAGTGGGATTATTTACAAACAAGTTTGATTTATTTATTTAATATATTTGGGGTCTAACCTAAACACTCACAAAATGCAAATGCTGCAATATTTGTTCCCATACTATGCCTTCCTTTCCAAAATAGCTTTTTCTCAACTAGCACTGCCCTCTGTTGGTGCAAATTTTCAATGCATGCCATCGAACTAGCATGCTTTTTATATCTGCACTCATTAATCACTTCTTGATTGGCAGTAGTACTGTACAGATGTGCTGGTTTTGTTGACATTTTCCATTATATTATTGACTTAGTTTTTCTTTATTATTTATCTAAATTTTCATGTTTTGGTATTGTGAAAGGTGACTTTTATTTTTCACACTTTTCTTACTTTTACAGGGCCTTTTGTTAGTGTATTGTGGATCCCACTCTGTGGCAAGTGCTGCCTGACCAGGTATACCTTTTTTTTTAAATCTACACTGTCCATCCTGCAACCATGCTCTATGTCAATTATGTTGTAGCTCTTTCTACTGTGAACCTGACATACAATTCCTGATACCACCTGGTGTTGGTTGTGTATCTTCGTTTTATTGTTATCTATGACTAAACAATTACATCACAGAATTGGGTTATGCACACCATAGAGATGGGATGTTTCATAGAACTGCTAATAGTTCACTGTAATGGTTTTTGCTTCATAACTATGTTTATTCCAGACTGTACACTCATGGACTAACTCATGTCTGTAAAGCAGACAGAGACTGCTGCACATCTCTGAGTTCTATGGCATTGAGACTTCCTACTGCAGATCTGATGTACAATTCAAGATGCTGTCAGGTTTTGGTTGAATGACTCCATTGACGTGGCAACTCTGCTTTTCAAAATAGGGTATTGTGGTCACCTGTTGCACTGTCTCTGGTGATGCTGTCCTCCAGACTCTCCAACACATTTTTTCTTCCTTTTTTGGAGTGGAGTATAGGAGTCCTAACTTACCAGTTCCTAGCCACTGGTGGACCATGGTGAACTGTCCTCCTGAGTGATGTATCATACCACTCAGTTGAGAGTAAGTGATGGCATTCTGCAAGTGTTGCTGATGTATTGCACTACTTACTGCAGACCTGATGTACAATTCCAGATGCTGCCAGGTTTTGGTTGTAGCACTATGCCATATTCCTGTTGAAAGATCTGACCCATTGTTTTTTTCCAAGTGTGACATTCCTCTTTCCTACCATCTTCTGAATGTACATTCCCAGTGGGTCTGGTTTTCGTTGGAGATGGCTCGGTCATGATTAGTATCATGTGTAAATGGTGTGACATCATTCCTACCATGGACCTGATGTACACTTCGAGATGCCGCCAGGTTTTGGTTGAAGCACTCCACCGTGTCACAAATATATATATGTATATACTATTGCAGTTTGCCCCTCAGGCTTAGATGTTCCTCCTCCCTACCATCTTCCAGATGTATATTCCTGGTGGGTCTGGTGTTGGTTGAAGATGGTCCAGCTACATAAGTCCTCATGTGTGCTGGCTGGTATCCCTCCTCATACTGTGGACTGGATGCCCACTGCCACCAGGTTTTGGACTGGAGATTCACCCCTGGTTTGCGGTCCCTCTTCCTACCACCTGCTGGATGTCGATTCCTGGCAGATCTGATATTAGTTGTAGATGAACACAGCACATTTTACCACTTGTGTACAGTCGGATATCCTGATATCCTTTTGCCGTGGACAGGAAATACCTTCACATTAGTGACGCGCATGAATGGATTAACGAGATTCCCACTGTCCTTATCTACTATCTAGCGAAACCACAGCCAAGGGAACGTGCTTGGAAAAATCACCGAGAAATGATCCAGCTGTCTGCTAGATGTCGGTCCCCGTGGGATCTGGTGTTGGTTGTGTTGGAAATGGCTGCAAGTGGAGATGAATTTTGGTACAGAAGCTCATCTTCCCTACCAATTCCTGTTTCGAGGTGAAGAGGTAGGTGATCCTCAACCTACCATTGATCTGATGTACCATTCTAGATACCACCTGGTATTGGATGATGTTGAGCTGCCACTACAGTCTGTTACATCCTAGCCACTTGACACTAAGGAGTCCCATTCATCGATCTTATATATTCTGGGATTCCTTCCTGTTTTTCCACCTTTTATGTTCGCAACACTGTCATAAAAGAGCAAAAAGTATACCTAGATCAAATGTGGTGTGGTCTCCCGCTGAGGTATGATATTTTCTTTTTTGGTTCTACACCTCCTGGTCTCTCTTTGGGTGCTTCCTAATAGGGGATAATAATATCTTTTATTGGCCCTCTACCAGTTCAGTGTGGAATTCTAGCTATTTTGTGAGCGGAGGTAAGATATCGTTTTGGAAGTTAGCATTTTTCTACACTGAAAATGTTCTTCTGATAGATACCTCTTCTCACATTTCCTACCCAGCTTCCCCACTTCTGATGATATATAGTGTAGGTCTTCTGACCAATCTTGAAGTGATTAACGAGTGCAGATGTGAAGAGGGCACTGTTTACGATGGTAGTGGTGTTGCACTCCTATTGGTGGAGAGTTGCCGCATGATCATTTGCATGTGGATATGCAAAAGTGGGAGGTGGAAGGCTAGTGGTGTTTGTTGAAATTTTGTGTCGATAGGGGGCAGCGTTAGTCAAGAAAAACGACTTTGTGAGAGGAGGTAAGTATCTATTGGAAATACATTTTCAATGTAGGAAAATGCTAACTTTTTCAAAACAGAATTAGCATTCATAATAGATTCTCTAAAAGTTCATTAAATGTACTAATTGACAAATGGACTTTACACTTACTTTGACACTAATTACCTAAGAATACACACAACAGCTTAAATACCAGCTTTCATTTATTTAAACTTTACATGACCTTTCTAATTCTAAGAGATGTGAACGATAAAGATCAGTTAGCACTTCTAACAGTCAACATGCTATGTTACCACATATAACCAAGAGCATGAATTGATGTAACAGAGTAAAAAACAAAATTTTAATGTTTATACAATGGAATCTTCAACAAAGCAGTGAAAATTTATTGTGAATAAAAATTAATCTGTAGATGTTTGTAGGTATTGAAACATTGAAGAAATGGCAGAAAATCTATAAATGATTCATTATTAAGTGGGATTATAAACATTTAGCAAACAATGTGCAAATGTGAAGTCTGCCTAATTTAATTAATTCTTTTAAAATAAAATTATTTCAGTCATTGGTTAACTAACCTAGATTTATTCTTTAAAAAGTAATTTAATTGTTTGAAAAATTGATGTTAGTCCTTTTGCTTTTAATAAACAATGTGTAAGCCTTACTACTTTATTGAGAAATCAACTTCCCTATATGTCTTATTATTTGTATCTACAATTTGTGAATAACATTAAAAATACTGAAGTAAAAACATGTTTTGGATAAACTGTAAATTACTTTTAATTTTCCTTCAAACTTTTTGTAAGTTTTAGCAAAAATGTTACAACTTTAAAAAATTAGGTTAAACTATATATTTGATTAATTTTGATACAAGCCTTGGTGACTGATTTTTAAACTTTGTTTTAAAGCTTCAGCATTAAATACTAAAAGTGTTAATGGGAAACCTTTCATATATTTATATGCAAGCTATAAGTACAAAGACACTGTACCACTTTTAGGGAATCTAAGTGCAGTACATTTAATATGAATTAAACCAATTTTCTGTTGACTATTTTCCAAGGGATTTAAGGCAAGTTACTCTTAATTCACTAGTGGGGACAGCTTTAGAGAGTTGATAAAAAGTTGTTTTTTAGGACCATTTGATAATATTCAAATTTTTTTTTGAGATAACCAACATGGCTATGGAAAAGGAAGATCTTGCCTTACTAACCTGTAGTTGTTATATCATTTTGTTGACAGGTTCTTTTCAATTATCCAGTGAAAATAGTTCAAAGTCTAGTCCACATAAACTATAACACATACATTTGTTTCCTCTTTTAATGTTTCTATGAGCTTGAGCACTTGAACACTGTCAAATCATTGTAAGTCTATGTTACAAGTATTGTTAACTAATGTCAAACAAATCAACTTACTTGTACAAAGTAACTTGCTAAGTGAGATGGTGAACACAGATTCAAATACTTCATGAAAATAAACTGACTGATTCAGTTCTTTTAACTGTATCCTTGACTATCTTTTTTCATCTCATTTTCCAAGTTATTTGATGTTTCACAGAATGTTGTATTTATATTCTACACTAGGACTTTTCCAAAACACATTTACCACCTTTCACACAAAAGCTATCTTGATTGTTGCCTGCCTTCTAAGCACTCGTATACCCCAATAGTTTTGTGCCATTTCTGCACATGTACATAATATGTGACTGCTCTCCACCAAAAGTATTGCACCACCTATAATGGTGCAGCTAGCTCCCTCTGCTATTCCCACTCAATCCTCACTTTCTTGATTGTTATGACACGGTTTAGACGTGTGTTTAATTTTTCCAGTTTTTTTATTGTGCTTTGTTGTCATTTCTAATGAAGTTTATTCAACAGTTTCTAATTTTATTGTTTAATTTCATTTGTTTCCATGAATTTGCATTCAAAATTTTCTTGTTCCCAAATTCTTCTTGTTTAAGTATGTATTTGAAGTTTCCTGTGGTTCACAAGGAATTAGAGTCTAATGTTTGGCTGGCATTTTCTTCGTCTTTTCAATGAGACACTCTTTCTGAGGAAGAAGACACTTATTGAGTTGCCACTTCGGCCTCTTCTTTTTCAGGTACCTTTCCCCAATTGCTGGCCGCCACATCTTTCAGTTGGGGGAGTCTTGTTCTTCTCCTCCTTTATACCTCTATCTTTAAGTTCTCCTAGCAAATTTGTGGTAAGTTTTTCATCATGTACACTTCACACCAGGTTGATATATCCATAGTAGGCTTGGTTCTGATACACTTTGCTCTTCTTTATACATGGGAGACTTATATATTTCACATCAGTGATGTTTGCAGTTTGGTAAGTTAGGTATTTAGGTGTACTATGTTATCTATGTTACTTCAGTTTAATTGCACATTAAATATTGATTATTACTTTGTAATTTTGCTAAATCTAATTGTTATGCACATTCATTAATTATGTGTATTTTGTTAGTTTGTTATTAATAAATACTTTCTCTAGGTATGATTTGATTGTGTGTTTGTTACGTATTGATTTCATTGTCCTGTTTTTGAAATACTTTTTTCTTCATTGTTAACTATGTGCTTTCTCATTCCCATTTTTGTCAGTATGTGACTTAATTCAGTGTCCCTTGTCGTCTAGGTTATTTTTGATGTGTGGTGAATTAGTTATTGCTTATTTAGGTGTTTTCTAGGTTATTTTTGATGTGTGGTGAATTAGTTATTGCTTATTTAGGTGCTTTCTAGGTAATTTTTGTTGGTTTGCTCATTTGTTATTGTTACATATTCTGTGGACTAGGTACATTTAAATGGTTTGTTGATTTCCTATTTATAAGTACTTAATTTACTGGGAATGTTTTAATAGTTTGTACCTTAATTATCATTACTACTATTAACATATAATTCAGTGTTCTATATATTTTTTTTAACATAGTTGTTAACTATGTGTCTTCTTATCCCCATTTTTGTTAGTGTCAGACTTCATTACATGCCCTTTGTCGTCATGGTTAATTTCATGAAATTGACTGTTTTTTCTCTGATTTGACTGGCTCCTGTTTGCTTCCTCCCATTCTCAGTCCAGAGTTCACATTCCTCTGCTCCTACAAAATGCAGAACAGGTTGGTTTTGTTATGACAAGGGGAAGTCCATTCTGATTCCCTCTTAATACCCATTCATTTGGGGGGGGGGGGGTTCTTTCCAACCACAGTTGGGCCTAGCCTTCTCTTCTTTGTCTTCAGGAATCTAGCAAGTAGTTCAGATGTCTCTCAACTTCTTATGGCTCAATATATTCTTTCTCTTTGGAGATTTGCATACCACTATCCTTAATCTAACTCCCACCTAAAACTTATGTTTAATGTGAATTGTGTTAGTCCATAAAGGTAAGGAAAGTGTTAACTTTTAAATTTCATACTAAACTGAATAAATTCGTTTTTTGTGCATATAAGTGAGGCATGAAAACATTTATGTCAAAACAGTTTACTTTTTCACTGGAATATGTGAGATACGACTTTATAGAACCTGTAAAAGAGTTTAATGCCAAAGTTTCTGTATGTTTCAACACTAAAGTAGCTACAGTACATTAGATAAAATTGGTGAACCCACAGCACTTTTAGTCTGTAGAGGAAATTTCAAACTTTTATGCACATAATTTAGTACAGAATGTGAAATTTATAACTTTACTTTTCTTTAATGTTGTAGTTAGAGTACTTCAGAAAACAAGCATATTTTGTAAATACTAATGCAATTAGTTCTTTGGACTTCAAATTGCTCTTTTCAAAGTCAAACAAACTATCAACTGTTAAAATGCTTGTTAAAAGGGCTAGTTGTTTGTTCTAACACTATAGAAAAACTTGATCTTAATCAGGGATAGCATGTTTGACATAATAATGTTTAAAGCAATAATTTAAAAACATCAAACTGCCATAGATTATTGTAAATTATAATATAAATGTTGTATAACCATTTCCATCATTCAGGGTATACAAGCTTACCATATGTTTCCTATCCACTTGATCAATATAATAATTTTTCACAAATTCTGAACATGTTGAGCATTTATTCTTAATGTAGAAAGTTGGTCAAGGGTGCCACTATGTTCTTCTTGTTCTAATTACTCACAGAACATGATCATCAACTAAGTATGTGTATCATCAGAATGTGTATTTAGTGCTTTCTCCTAGTACAGATTGCTGTAATAAAGTGCATACTGAACAGAAATGACAGTGATCTTTTCTAATGGAAAGTCAGGTGATGCCCCAGGGATATAACATTCCATGTTTTACACTAAGAGTGATGATAGTCATCAGTGTGGCATCCTGAGAAGAATGGCATTGTTGTTCTTCCCATATAATGCCATGTTTTCTCAACCTGCAACAAGATGGTTGAGAATAAAATTATCCACAGAAAATTACTGGAGTAAAGATGCCACAATACTTTAAACATTTTTAGGCCATGATATTTTACACAATTCAGCTACTATTATATACGACTAATAAATATATGCAGAGGCTACATTTACAACAGCCATAACATTATTTCATTTGAATATTTATAGCATTATCAATACATATGGGCATTCATTTATTTATGAAACTTTTTTATTTTCCAGTCTCAATTGCAACCAGGTGCTACCGTATCATTACTAAATAACTATTAATGGTTATGTCATTTTGAACCATAAACTTAGTCTAATGACTTACAGATCTCTATATAATTCTATATCTTGAATTGTATTTTTAATTTTAGTTTCAAATATGACACTGGACTGGTAAAAAGGTCAGAATGTATTTAAAGTGTTGCCATGTTTGTTGATATATCTCTTCTCTAACAATTTCACTATCTGCACATGTGTAGCATTAACATAGCCATTGAAATCTAATTTTCTTCTAAATATAACCACGATGATAAATCTAAGTGTGTGTTGATTTTGATGGCTGATTAAAATAATACAAATTGGCCACATTGCTAAGACTTTTTTTACTTTAATGCTAAAACAGGTTGCACATATATCTTCCTTTTTAATCATGCCTAAAATACTTTCTTATGAGAATCTTACAGTATTTTATATGTTATGTTATTACCATGAAAGTTTTTGTTGAAAAATAAAAATACTAAATGTTGTTATTATCATATAGTGTTTATCAGTACTTTCACTTAAATATCTGAAGTTTTGTATTTCACCATAGTGGTAATGTCGTCGGTTCAAAATAATCAGCAAGTTGTGTTATTGCTACTAAAATTATAAAGAGTTTTTTATAATCCATTTTAGATCCAGTCATGTAAAGAAACAAATATTAATGAATGTGTAGCAAGGTCCATATGTATAACATGATTAGTAACTGTTTACTAATACAGAATCTTGTTTTGTTTTAGGTCTATCACAGAACCAAACAGAGGGAGGAAGTAAAAAAATAAAATCTAAGTTTAAAGTAAGAAAAAATGAAGAGAAAACCAGCAGTGAAAAGAATGAAAGCATTATTTTAGATAGTTGAGTATATCAATATCATTCTTTGTGTGTATTAGTCAAGTTTCCATAGTGCCCAATAGGCTGTATTGCTTCACTATTTTAGTTATTTTAATATTTATTAATTGACTCTTAAGCTGTTGATCTTTGCACATGCGGAACATTATTGTAGTATTAGCTTCAGAGAAGTTGGTGTTTCTATGTGTTTTTATCATGGAAGATTTATTATAGACAGTTCACAGTAATTACTTGAAGTTTTATTCAGTGGTAAGATGTACCAATGTACCAAGACACATTTAATGAAAGTTAATAGTAACTTTTTTGTAGGTTTTTGATTGGTAAAAATAAAAACAGTATATCATATGAACAAAAAAACTAAGAATTAGGAAAGATCTACCCCTTCAAAAGATTTTACTGGTATAAAGGCCACATGTGAGCCCTTCACAAATGAGGAAATATGTACATATCTACATGTTCTTTTATTTTTTCTTTTATGCCTAACAGTAGCAAAACTGGGGATCATTATCCATTGTACACTATCAGCTAAAGTATGTCTAATATATATGAGCTAACTGGTCTTGTTATTTGGCTTATAATTTTGCAAGAAAGATATGATGAGTGGGTTGTTTAAAAAATAAATGTATGGCATTATAGAAATAGTCATTTCTTTTGTTTAGAAATATCAAATTCAAAACAATTTTATAAAAACATTCACTCTTTCTGTAAACATTCCTGAGTGATATAGTACTTATCAATTTATAGAGTCTCAACATTTTTGGGGATAGTCATACCATCTGAGGGTTCACTTCAGGGTCGATAACTAGTCATTTTGAGATATTATTAGCTTAGTGGTATGAAAAATTGTTTGTAGAAGTCATTTTGCTTAGGAAAAACTTAGACATCTTTAATCATCTTAGCTATATTCGTTTCCTCATGATATAGCCCTTTTGGATAAACTTCAAGATTTCTCTGTTCAGTTTAATAACTAGTTTAATTCATTTTATTTTGATTATCTGCTAGAGACTAAGTAATATAGAAAAATGGAACAGAGTATTTAACGTTATTTAGAACAATGAGATATGACTTTGTTAAATGTGGCCTGGAATGGCCTAGTAGTTAGGGCAGTAGACTTGCAATCTTCAGGTCATGGGATCAAACCCAGTGCCAAACATTCCTGTCCTTTCAGCTGTTAGGCTCATATAATGTGGCAATCAACCTTGCTATTCATTGGTAAAACAGTAACCTACGAGTTGGTGGAAGGTGCTACCAGCCAGTTGCCTTCTCTTTGATCGGCAATTCAAAATTAGGAAAGGTGGCAGATAGCTTTAGTAGCTTTACCATAAAACAAACACAAACTTACTTAGTGAAAAACCACAGTAAATGGAACAAACTTTCAGAAGTTTGATAATAGAGAAACTAGTTTCGACACATTTGTGCATCCTCTTCAGTCTCACGTGTCAAAACTAGTTTCTACATTAAAGGTTTTTAAAGTTTACTGAAAGCTTGCCAGATTTTGTGAAGATACAATAATTGCTTTCAGAGTTATAGTATGTATACCACCATGGTTACATGGTGGTTATGAGGTGCTGCAAAATACATCAGCCCATGGTGAAAGGGTTAAATCATTTTGCACTTAACAAGTTTTGTTTTACTGTGAAGGCTGCTGTGTTAGGCCATGAAAAGAAATATTTAGAAAACTCTGTGTGTGCGTATATATATAATGGGTTTAGAACTTGTTACATATGCATAAATGAAACCTAATTATTAATTTAAAATATATATTGGCTTGCTTATAATTTAAGTAAGGGTGAAAAAGATATTTTTGTTGTATGCCATTGATAAAAAAAAAGAAACTGCATGTGATGTATTTTTGAATCAAAACAAAGATTAAATTTACAATCTTAGAAGAACTTTATGGGAAGGTTTTACAAGAAATGTAGGAAGTCATAAAATTCAGTAATTAAAATTGCATCAAATGTAAGCATTTTTAATTGATTCTTTAGAAACATGAAAATGAAATCCTTTTAAAGTTTCAAAGCTATGAATTCATACAAATATTACATATAAAAATAGGATATTTTATTTACTAAAGCTACATAATCTGTAGAAAATTTGCTTGAAGTTTCAAACTATTTCATTCAATAGTTTATTTTTGCAATTCAATTCAGTTTGTTTTGACTGGCTTCTAATCAACTTGTAACTCTCCACGACATGGAAATGTCTAAATGTTTGTTTTACATATTGCTGTTGTTCAAACTGCTGAAAATATACTGTTTCTTTCACATTTTGATATCGTTGATATGTGCATAGCAAATTAAATAAACAATAACCTGACAGTTCTTTTTGCATAAAAGTGAACTCAGGGATACGAGTTACATTATGTAATAACAGTAGTTGTGCTTTGTCATTGTTAAAACATAGAAAAGTCTATTTGTTCCTTTATTTTTTTTAGCACAGTATTTCTTTTACATTTTTGTACAAAAAGTGTTAAATATATATATTTATATTTCATCAAATTTTTTGCATTTGAAATTTCTGCACATCATATTTTGTAACTATACAACTCTAATTCTTCCTCTTTGTAGATCATGACATAGGTTTTCCATCTGTTATTGAAGACATTGTGGTGAGTAAAATATAACTCAGAATTTTGTTACACTTATAAATTAACATTTGTGCTCAAAACCACGTGAACATTTAAATTATCTTATAGAAACAGGAAACTGCTGGATTCATTTCAGATAATTTAAATTAAAAATAATAGATGCTATGGTGAAAGTATCAACCATTGTTTGCCATTGTGGAATATGTTATGCTCATAGCTTGGTATCAACCATTGTTTGCCATTGTGGAATGTGTTATGCTCATAGCTTGGTATCAACCATTGTTTGCCATTGTGGAATATGTTATGCTCATAGCTTGGTATCAATCATTGTTTGCCATTGTGGAATGTGTTATGCTCATAGCTCGCATGATGGTGATATGATATTTTGTTATTGTTCAGCAGCATCTTTGAGGAATAATTAGCACAATTAGTTTTGTTTTATTTCCTGCAAGACTCTGGTAATACAAGTAACTCTGAACTAATATTTGTGGTACAAGGTGGTTATGGAGGACTGTAACACATTTAAAGAATCCAATGTGCATCATCTTGAATGTTTTCTCGCTTGTCACTTGACCTCTGCCATGTTTTATATGTTGGTGCATAGTCATGTGGAATTTTTTTAAACAATGCATGAATTTTATGTGACAAATTTTATGATTACATGAAAAACTAAATTAAGGCTTATAAACATGTATGGACAAAATTGCATTGATAAGCAGCTGAACCATCCTAGGCCATTGTATCAAAATTGACAATTTTTTCGTAAACATATGTTTATTCCTGAAGGTAAGTTATGTTTGCATAAAGAAAAGTTTTAAAAAGTTATAGTGTGGACTTATCTTATAGACATGGCATAACATTCTAAAAGTGCAACAATACAACTTGTTTTTATTATGCCATAAATTACAGATTCATTGTTGTATTAAAGCATAAACTGAAAAAAATTTCACATTATAATATTTTAAAAGGTACCTTGAAAATGGGTGTTTTAATAAAATTAGAAGTGAAAGGAGAGGGTTTTGAGAGAAAATGCTTAAAATTAGTTGGTAAATATGTGTTTAGCACTAAATATTCTATTCTATTGAGTAAATATAGACCAAGACTAGCCTTTGAGCATGTGCAGGTATATACGTCTTGTCATGTAGTACAATGTCAGATAAATTAACATTATTTTTATGCTATTTTTGAATTCAATAATTATTAGGTTATCAAGAAATTAATATCGCTTTTTTTTTAGATAAAAAAGCCCGAACAAGTTATATATCAAAACAAAACATTTATTGAATGAAATAGTCTCCATTCTTATCGATGATGCTTTTCCATCTTACAATCAGGTTGTTAATGTCCTGATTAAAGAAATCAATTAGCTTTGAAGCAAAATACATACCGATGCCCTGTTTAACACCTTCCACATTTGTGTATGTTTTCCCATTAAGATGGTGTTGCAGCGAACGAAAAAGATGGTAATCTGATGGTGCCATATCTGGAGAATATGTTGGGTTTGGGAGAACTTCCCAACTCCATAATTTTGTGTTGAGTCAACCGTGCCACCTGTGGAAGTACATTGTCGTGGAGAAGAAGAACACCTTTCCGATTGCCGAGTGAAGGGCGTTTCTGATGAAGGGCTTGATTTAAACGTTCCAGTTGCTGACTATAGATCTCTGCATTAACAGTTCACTGTGGATTGAGAAGTTTGAAATGAATTACTCCTTTGATGTCTCACCAAATGCAAAGCATCACTTTCTGTTGATCGAGTCCTGGTTTTGAGGTTGGAAGTGGTTTTTGTCCAGGACTGAACCATTGTTTTGGGCATTTAATATTCGCATTGAGAATCCATTTTTCATCACCGGTGACAATTCTGTCCAAAAATGGTTCATGCACATTACGCACCAGAAGAGACGAAGCAACACTCACATGTTGGAAACGATAATCATTGAAGAGATCAGTAGGCACCCAAATACCTTCTTTATGGAGTTTTCCCATATTTCTTAGATGTTTACATTTTGTTTCATGAGAGACATGTAATTTCAGGGCCATTTCATGAGTTTGTTGCCTTGGCTTAGACTGAACAAGTGTCTCCAGAGCATCAATATTAGTTCCAACGTGTCGGCACCTGCCATCTCAGTTTTTAAGACTAAAATCACTTGTACGAAATTTGTTGAACCATAGTTGACACTTATGAACGTTCAAAACATTTCCAAAAACTTCTTTGATATTCTTTGTGGCTACAGAGGCATTGTTTCCCTTGTATTCAAACAGCATTACATGCCAAATTAGATTAGAGTATACTAAACTTTACACATTATATAGGTACACTAACATGACGTTTAGGCGGTTCGTTTAACTACAATACATGATGTACGTTTTTTGGGGGGTGGTTAATGAAAGTGTTCCAAAATGCGACATTAATTTCTTGATGACCTAATACATATAGAAGACACTTCTAAATAAAAATTAGTTAAGAAAAACTACTGAGAGAATTGTGGTGTAGCAAATATGTGTTAATGTATTTTGAGTTGTACCATTTGTAGAAAATGACCAGAGGTACCTGTAGAATCCTATAAAGTAGACTGGAGCTATAACAATCAAGAAATGTTAGTATATCCTGTCTCATCAGTATCTATTAAATGCAGCCGAAAAATTATTAGTCATGCAGTAGGAAAACCATTAGTATCTTTGCAAAAATAAAACAATAAAGAGTAAATTCATAGGTATACCAGTTGTAGGAAACTACCAAAGATAATCTTCAAAAGTAGATATTGTAGTAGTAGCAGACAAAAAAACTATTAGGGATGCCCTGTCTCATCAGTATCTTCTAAATGAAGGTATAAAACTAGAAGGCATACAGCAGAAAGGTGTTGTGAGACAAGTGCACAATGCCTGATGTCATATTATGACTTTCTGCCAAAAGCCAGTAGTGGATTTGTTTGTAATTCCTAAATTTCCATACTTTGTATTGATGCTATAGTGCTAATTTGATATTTATGAGTTATTTTTGTAGTTTTGTCCTCATTGCTGCATTTGTTTTGCATCATGTTTTAATCTACTACGAATGTAATTTTCTAATAGTAATAATGAATATATAGTTACAAATTGAGAACTTATTATCATCATGTGAATGTTGTCAGTAACAATAAAGCAAAGTGAAAAAAAAAATGTCAAAAACCTATTGAGTAATGAATGGTGTGTAACAGCATACTAGCATTCAAATAGCATTGAAGATAGTCCATCTCTTCAATTATACACCATTGCGGATAAGAATCTGTGGTGTGGTGCAACAACAGATGAACACACATGAAATTATTAGAGGGCCTGAATCGATAATGTTCTGAACCAAACTACAAAGTAACTGTCTGCAGCTAATTGTGGGCAGTAATAAATAAATCAATAGGAATAGATAAATGAATAAAAGGAATTTTTTCCAACCATACATAATCAAAAGTGACTCTCTTGAATAAGAAATGAAAAGAAAGAGGAAGAAAATTAATTAAAGCACTATAAAGTTAAGAAACATTTACAGATATGGACAGAGTGAAGTAATTTTCAGTCACCTAGAAGTTTGCCTTTCCTGTCCTATTTCACTTGCATTAGAAGGTAAAATACATTTAAAACAAAGATAAGCAGAGAGTAAGATTATTCCTGTTCTTAAGGCCATAGAACTGAATGAATTAAATAAGGTTTTCAAAACTGTTCTTGAATATGACCAATGCTGGTTAAGGTGACAGAAGGTCAACAAGTTCAAGAGTGAGAAAACTGACTTTATAGGTGAAACTTGTATCTTTTAGAATAGAAATGGGACCATATTTATTTAGTGGAATGTTATATTTATTAAAAAATAATCTGTATATTTTGATTATAGTGGGAAAGTCATAACCATTAGACTTAAATTTTTCAGTCAGTAGTTTGGCATGGAATAAAAAAATTTTAGATTTATTAAGAATAAGCATAAAGCTTTTTAGTTGTGAAATTTTGTGAAAACAAAATCTTATTATTGTAAATTAAAGGACCAATTGATAGAATACTTTTGACTAAGATATTAGGGATTAAATTATTAACAGAAGGAAGAAAGTATACATGAAATTTGAACTCATTTCATTTATTGTAAATGTTGAAATTCAAATTGGCATTAGTAAGTGAGATATTTAGTTCAAGAAAATGACAAGAAATTGCCATTTATTAGTCATTTCAAGTTCCATTTCCACAAGATAAATGGAAGAGACTGTTAGTTCAAAGCCTGGATTATTTAAAGAAATTAGGTTATCTGTGTTGTGTAGCAAAATAAATAATGATACTGATCCAGGTTCGGTGATTCTAAGAGAAATGCTTGTAATAAAATGATACATATTAGCTACATTTGATGAGTAGTTGGAACCCATCAGAATTCTTATTTGTTGTTTATAAATATTATGGTTAACTTTGATGTAATTATTAAACTAAGCATATAGTAATTGAAAACATTTTTTGCAATCTTCTTTAGTTAAAAATTGATGGGAAATTTTACAGGTATCATCCAAATAACAATCAAAAAGAAAGCTGAAGACTTTAATAAGATCTGTTAAGAGTACTTTAGTGAAGAAAGTAGTAAAATCAAGAGAAATAAAGAAAATATTGTTTGTAATAAGTAAATTATTAATGCAATCGTGTACCTTTTTGTTTTTGTTAATGAGCTAATAATCTTTATCATAAGAATTATCTGTATTGATTCTAATATGATTTGGTAAGACATTTAGGATTTTCTTAAGCAGTAGAAGTATTTGGCAATGTTTTTACCAAGCTGGTGATAAATCAAATTTAATATGAATTTTATGCAGTTTTAAGATAGCTCATTGAAAAGGCAGATTTTGACATTTATGATAAACTGTCTTTTTTTAGTATTTTTTATAGAATTAGTACTGATTTTGTTTGCAGCAAAACTAATGTTAGTGTTGAAAGTTTTTTTAGATAGAAAGGGCATAAAACTTTTTTACGAACGAATATAAAATTGCATCTAACTCTATCTACACGGGTTGTTACAAATTTTATTTTGAGCTTGTGGTTTTTGGTTTGAACAGGTGATATGGAAGGTCAGGTTTGTAGATAGAAATGTTTAAGTCATTGGGTTGATTTTTGATAATGAGAAATTTTTTCCATTTGTAAGAGTACTCGATTTTCAGAATATAGTCATCTATATTTCATTCTAGTGATTTTAGAACAGTAAATTTGTTTGTATTCTTAGAAAATCTGAACTTAGAACATTTTTCTAGAATTTCTGTAAGCTTATCATCTTATAGAATTTTTAGACCGCTTGGAATGACATATTGATGAAAATTATCAGTCCAATTGTTATTAAAACAGTAATGTGGCAAAGCATCAGTGTCAGTGGAGTTTAATGTATTGATAAAAATCTTATTATTGTACATTAAAGGACCAATTGATATAACATACTTACAACTCTGACTTGGATATAGGTTTTTGAATGGAAAATAATTATTAGTAATATTTTGATGAATTAATGATAGTAGAGGGAGATTATTTAGTATTTTATATTTAAAATCAGTTACCGTAAAGGAATTTTCTTTCTTCTGTGTATCATGAAAAAGTGGAAGTAATAAGTGATTTTAAACCAAGGTGAAATTTGATAAGACCAGTAATTAAGTCTTTCTCATTTTAAAAATTCCACAAGTATGATAAATGTTTGTCAGTTATAATGTATTAGTTCTATTTTTTCTCTTGAGTTTCAGGCTCTGTAGACATCATGTATATTGCTTATTTTTTTAGGAGAGAGATGTCACTGGAAATCTTGTCACTGCTCCTGGTCCCGTAAATGAACCATTTCCAAAAGTTATTTTAAGGGACAAAGGGGTATGCCTCCTGTTTTTCTTACTTTGTTTATGTGATCTGTTGTCAATAATTAAATTTTGTGTGTATGATTGACGTTATACTAATATATTGTTGTTTTATCTACATTACTATGTTTCAGTTGGTTCTAGCACAGAGTTTTGTAAAATATTGTTAGAATATAAATTACATATAGTAAAATATTTTTATTACAAATGCTAATCTTGACACTAAATTGGAATATAATATTATTTAGCACTTTTTTACTCAAAATTTACATATTATTACATATTTTTCTATTTCCATTTTGAATACCATGGTATTTCAAAGTATTTAATAAAGAGGTTAATGTCAGTTGTATTATAAACTATATAAATGTGTGAAATCCATTTGATAATGAGAGTAATCCTATAACCTGGTAAAGATGGTTTTTGAGTGATATCTACACAAAGATAAATGAGAGATAATTTTATCCAATGGAATTTGAAATATCCTAATATATAGTTGTTAGTGTTCATAATAAAATAAATTATAGTAATTTATGTTTTCAAAATAAGCAGTTGCTTTCAGCTTGAAGGCAAAGCCAGGGATGTGAAGAAAAGCATATTTGCTCTGCAAATGGAAAGAGAGAATTTTCATTCCTCTGCTGTTAGTAGAGAGACAACATTTAGGTTACCGAGAACATCACATGCTGAAGGTACGTTAAATAAATTTTATATTTTGGGACAGATGTGGAAATTAAAAAAAAATTGTAGACTTGTCACTCATTCTATTAGTATGATAAACATGTATTGTGTTTTATAATGTGTAATGTTATGTTAATTTACTTTTAGATTTTTTAATGACCCTATTTATGTAAGTAATCTAGATATAAAACGAAACAATGAGGTTGATTTTTTAGCTCTTAATTTACATTTAGATATGTTGTGTGATGATGTGGCTAATGCTTCTTTCTCTGTATGAGTATCACAAGCAGCAACAATTATTTGGAAATAACTATTTTTATTTAGTTATAAAAATGTGACTTCTGTTTTATATAACATTTTGAAACTAAGTGTGTATGTTTTATTTCATTCCTATGGGATTACCTCTAAGAAAATAGAATTTTCAATCAAATATGTACTGTTAGTTATACTGATGGTGACTGGTAAATCATGTAAAATAGTATGGTCAAAACAGCCTCGGCACGAATTTCGCCGCCACTCTCTTCATAGCCAAATCTTCGGTCATAATGGAATGTGCCGAAAAAGTGCTGATGCCCACCTCTTCCGCAATTTCTCGGATAGTCACACGATGGTCCCGCATCACCATAGCGTTCACTTTGGCAATAACCTGGTCATTTCGGTATGTTGATGGCCGACCGGAGTGTGGCTCGCTCTCCACCGTTGTGCGGCTGTCTTTAAACCGGTTGTACCACTCCTTAATCTGTGTGATGCCCATAGCATCGTCACCGAAAGCCGTCTGAATCTTCCGAATGGTTTCCACCTGGCTGTCTCCCAGTTTCTGGCAAAATTTGATGCAGTAGCGCTGTTCCAGTCTTTTTCATTGCAAGGAAAATGACGGAACTGCAAAATTTCAGCCTAAGATGTTACTTTTTGTAGCTTGACCAGTCAAGGAACTTACCTACTATTTTCTGAGATAGTTGCATTGTGTCTTTCATGACCTTATGTTTGGAAGATACATAAAGCCGCCATATCTCACTGTCAGCTGCAAAAAAATTTATATTATGAAGCCAATTTTAGTGCTTTAACAGGTGATTACCCTAAAGTATTTAAAATGTAGTAGAAGACATTTGTGTCATGTCTGATACCTATGCTGAGCATGTGAGCTTTAGTTTAAAATAAGTTTAACACATTATCTTCTTAATTTACTTTATTTTCCTACAACTGACTGCACATTTTTCAGAATTCTTTTTTTTTGTGTTTATTTCATGTATATGTCTCAGAAAATAAAGTGTTTCCATGTAATTATTATTCGGTTTGAAACACTATATTTTATCTCTTTTCTTCTAGTTGTCACAAGTCACTGCATATTTCCTTTGGCATATTAGATCCATGAATCTCTTGTTTTTGTAGTTGTGCTCATGTATAACCTTGAACAAATTTTGGTGCCATGACAAGGATCTAATGATTTTAGAAGTGTTATATGATTTTTGTCCTTTTTCCTTATAAGTTACTTTTGCCTTCTTTCTCTCTTATATACGAGGCCTGTGAGAAAAGTATCCGACCTTATTTTTTTTTCGATAACCTGATGGATTTGAATCAAGCGCACTTGCATGAGCCGACCTTGAACCTTCGTGCCCATGCGTGAATTTTTCCCGCTTGTTGATTGCGCCAGTTGTTGGCAAGCAGCCATTGAGTGAGGTAGTGTGTAGTGCTCTCGTCAGCTCAATCTCAGTTAGAACTTAGAAATATGTAAGAATTTTGCAGGTTAGAAATATACATTATAGGAAAGTAAGATACTTAGTATTTTCAAACTAAAATTAATGCTCAAAGTAATTCTTGTATGTGCTTTAAGTAGAATGCCTCTGTTTGGTATTTCTTGATCAAAGCCAAAGAGATTTACCTCATTAGTCATAATGTATGCATATTTCAATAACCTTCTAAAGGCAAACTTTCTGGATCGGTAAAATACTGCTTTAAATGTCATATGCAGAAGTATCATAACAAACATGTAGTCCTGGACATAGCTTTAGATAATGTACCAATGCAACAGACAAATTGTGGCATTAGTTAACATACCAATACACATATATAATGATGTATCTAGCTTCGGGTAACATACTCATAAGAACAGTGAGAATTGAAGCTTTATGTGATGTACTGCTATAAACACTTAGTGACGGGCATAGCTTTAACATGTGTTGTAACAATACAAACATACAAACAGTGATGGGCATAAAATCAGATAACCTACTGCTACAAACACACAATGATGGACAAAGGCTAGAGTTTCTGACTAATACAAGAACAGTCTTTGTAATATGTATATTATTTGTGCCATATTATTATTATTCCTCTTTTCTGAAGTTACTAATACAATATAATAATATAATTTTGAAAAAATATTATTTCTTGTGTTTATAAGCTTAAGACATACCTGAGTGTCCATCACTGTTTTCGCAATTGCTGTTTGAACAACGTTTGTACGATCAAGGCAGTCAATACAATTTATTCTGAATACTCCACACTGCTCACAAATCACATCACCATTTTCTATCCTATAAAAAGTTGACCCATGAAAAATCTAATCAAGTAATAGTTAAAGAAACTAGTAATAGTTAAGTTAAGGAGTCTTTCAGAGAAAACAAATATTTAACACCAGTTTATCTACATTAACATTCAATTGAATACAAAATTACAGTTAAACTTCCAATATGAAATTAAGACATACTTTCTTACTCAGATATCTTAAAATTAATTTCATAAAAAACAAAACCACTTTACATGAAAATTCTGTTTTTGTTTCAGAACTTTCATGTAGAGTGACACAAAGATCTATCTGTGCATAACTGTGAATGAGGGTAGTCAACAGAACCCACTGCCAATTGTAGGGCAAATCTTATCTGACCAAATGGGATATCATCAACAATCTTAGAGACTCCTCAAATTGTCCCAAATTGTGGAGCACATTTTTATATCAATAAGCTGTGAACCAAAAGCCTTCAGATTCAAAGTCTTAGAACAATAACAAGTGGGCCATACCCCAAAAATCTTATTGTGCTTAAATATGTGTATTAAGTTCTTTAACACATGCAGTGATTTTTTTCTCCAATGTTTTTCACCATTACATATTTGAGGGTGATATTTTAGATCAAGACAGTAGTGACAGGGTTACTATTTTCTGAAGTGCAAATTGAGATCAGGATAGTCTCAAACCTGTGACTCTAGTAAGTAATTTGCAGAGTCATGAATTTAGCTCCTATGAAATCCAAATTTTTATTGCTTCAGAAAAATTCTAACTTCATAGGATGTTGTGCCATCAGTGAAAATTTCTATAGTCACAATGTAAACATTTTTTTGTCTTTTTTAGGGGAAGGTAAGGAAGGATTTCTCCCAGATATGCTAAAAATGTTAAAAGCTTCAAATGTTGACTAAATGTACATTTAATTAGTCACCAGTTTAAAATAAAAAGCAGGCTTTCTCGAACAACTATAAAATAAAATATTTAAAGTTCCATTTTTGTTTTTGTGTAAAGAAAGATTCCAATAAAACTGTAAGACACTACAAATATTTACAAAAAGTTTAACACTTCAAAACAGGGACATAGTTTACACTCAAAGAAAAAATATTAAAACCTAACTGGGCTTACCAACAGTATCTCATATCTTTAATTATGTCTGCAATACTCCCGATCAGGATTGAAACATTCTCGAGCTTCATTTCACGACTACAAGAAAATCACATAAAAGTACTAGATCATCATCATCTGAACTGGATTAATTATGCCTTTCACCAAATAATAATAAACCTTGTAATTTCTGAATTCTGGTAGGTATATGGGTAGGTCCGATTAATTAAAAAAAAACATTTTCTGACTATATTACAAGGTTATTTACATTTTTTAAAAAATAAAGTCAATGAGACAACTACTTAATTATTGTTCACAAATGTATAGATAGCTTTCACCAAATAATTTAAAACAATTATAAAATGATAATTGGAAATTATTCTTCGCTATTCTTACTCTTGAATTCTCTTTTCTATCTTTATAAATGGACATTTATGTAGCCTAACTAATAACATGTTTTTTTAATTTAATGTCTCTTTTCATTATTTAAAAAATGTAGATACCAATATATTAACAAAGATTACCCACAGATAACCAAGATAATTTAATTTAAAAACTTTCATTGGGTTTCTTTTTTCTGAACCATTAATACTGCATATTACAAATAATGCCACTGTCTAGCTCATGCTACTGGATTTGTCCTAAATTATCTCTAATAAAACTGATTTATAAATCTAATCTACTATATCTTTTATAATATGCAGCTGCACTTGACAGTTCTAAAATCCCGATTGCCTTTAGTTTTTTTAGCATAATCCTGAACTTGACTAATTCAAAAACTTGATCTGTTACATGAATAATAACAAACTGCTAACTGTGAAAAACACCATATCTGCCATATGTTTTGTAACATACAGCTAAAATTCACTGGTCTTAAAACCTGATTACTATATCTTTTGTAACAGTTTGATAAACTTGACTGACCTAAATATCTGGTGTTTTGGAACATATCATTGGAACTAATATGGTAAAAAACCTGACCTGCTATATGCATTTTGAGACACTACAAAACTTGGCTGGTCTAAACTCTTATTGATTTAGGTTTTGTAACATTTCTGAAGCCCTAAGTAAGACATCAAACTGCATCCAGCAGTATGATAGTCAACTGTCAGGGTAACAGTGAGATTAGTATTCTCTAGCTGCTGTAGCCTCTAGGTGTAACACTCATTAACAAGGGTGTAGCTGTCATTACACAAATACGCAATTGTATACTAAAGTGTGTGTATATTGTGGTAGAAGAATTTGTGTACTGATTGGAAATCTTATAAAACTGACTATTTTTGCCACACATTTTACACCATAAAGATTTCCCTAGGCTTAACATTAATATTAGACTTTAAGATTCAAATTATTATTTTAAACTGGAAACCTATGACTGTCTGATACAGAAAAGTATAAATTGCTATC